GCCAGGACACGGTTGGGGGAGAGGAGGCTGAGTCGGGCAGCTTCGGCGCAGGCGCAGAACGTCGCTTTTCGACATCCATTCGAGCGCACTTGTCTCGAAAAGGCGTAGTTAACTTCATGGCCGGTTTCAACTGAACTGGTTTCATTTTGAGAGGCTCTCAAAGCTACTTGTCCTTCACATCATCCTGTCACTCGGCAAATTCTAAAATGGATCCCGGGAAACGTCCAGGCATCCACCCAAATTCGACGTTCCCAAAGCCGAGGCGCTAAAGTGCGAAAATTCGGTGACATTCTGTCTGGAAACAACAGGTCGGTAGCAAGCAAGGGGCCATGGAGGTGTTCTTTTTTTTGATTCTGTAGCATTAGACTGCTCGAAAGTGGTGAGTTGGTAGGTGTGCATCACATATGCTCGGCCACGCTAGAATGCTTCCCAACAGCTCTTGCCAAAACCAATGATACGACCCCGAAGGGGGGAGCTACCCTAATTACATGGAACAACAAAGCGCAACGACCCATCTAATTCTGGTGGGAGAACGCTTTGCTTGCTGAGTGCTGTGCAAAACCCAAGAGTTTGGTCAGAAATGTCAAGCCCTCTCCCCTACCCCAACTACCCGCTTGGTTTGAAGGGAATTGATGTAGTTTGTACCTCCATGTACCTCATGTTTCCGTCTGGGGTTGACATCATACCCTAACTAACATACCCGAACAACTCTTGGAGAAATATTCAGGGACCCGCAGGGATTCTACAGGGGTTCCCTGCATGACCTTCCCTGTTTTGGGAATGAACCTGTACACTCCCTTAAAGCAAACCCTAGGGGATGGTGAATTTTTCGGGGTCAGACTCCAATTCTCAGGGACTCTGCCTATCGAACCGACTCGAGGCGCGCCCTGGACTGACGCTGTGGTGCAGTACTGCTTTGACCCCTGCTGCTCGGCGAAGTTTTTCTGGAGGGGTATTGGTTTTAGGTGTTTTTGTTCCCTCCTTTTTTTGTTGCTTGTGGCTCCTTGTTTTTTGTGGGGACCCTCCAAGTGTCGCGCGAAGAGCAACGAGGTGTCGCAAGGGAGTTTGGGGTCCCCTATCCCTAGGAGCCCAGACCCTAAATATATGCGCCTGTCTTCCAAACCCCCAAAGGCCTTAAATAATGAGGTCTTGGGCTCCTAGGGTATGCTTGGAGAAGCTCATGGCTGGCTGGCAACTCTGGTTATAAGAAATCTAGCCCACCATAGCTTTCATGGGAATTAAAGTCGGAGCTTTTGGTTCTTTGAGCTACTTTGTTAGGTGACATTTCATGGCAAGGCATGCGGAGGACCAGTGGAGATTGGGGCTTGCGGCTTACGGACAGAAAAGTATCTGCGATACTGAGGGAATCCCCTGTAAAGTGAGAAAGTAGTTGTCACCGAAAGTCTTCCAGAGGCTTGAAAGGGGGTGTTTTCACACTCCTGTTGGTACGCTCGTCCGGATGTGGTTCCGCAGAGAAAGCAGCATCCAAAACAAGCCCGGGTTGCGGAAACTTGGGTTTTCAGGCTGCTCCTTGGCCGTGGGTGGCGGGAGTCACCTGACAAAGTGCTACGGAAATCCCGGTTTTGGGGTGAAAAGGGGCAACCATGCCAATCATGAATCGTTTCAGGTACGGTTTACTGCCAACATCAATAGTACTGTATGTGAGGCTCTATGTGGAGATTGTCTTGGGCTTGGGCAAGTGTAGGCAACTTTTGTTTGCAAGCTGCCTTTGGGTTGGGCAGAAGTTCTTTCGCATGATGGGAGTTGACGCCGATCCGCCCAGACATCGACCCGACTTCCCTGCAGGCCTGGGACCCTGGGACCGGCACAGGGTTCGGCGTTTCTTGGGTAGACCTATCGATCTGCGGGATCCAGGGGTTAAACCGGAGGTGTCCTTTTCATCAGATTAGTTTGGCTACATAGAATGGGTTCCACTGGTCCAGATTGGTTTTGTTCCATTTACCAGGGCCATCGATGTTTTTCCAGATGGCCACCGCCACCTATGTTTCAAGCCGTTTCTGACCTGATTTGAGGAGGCTTGTGCTACAGAGAAAAAGCCGGCCGAAAGAGTTCTGACCTGATTTCATGAGGGTTGTACAGACATTGTCCGAGGCTCGGTACCCTTTTCGGGGTTGGTTCAAAGGGAAGCCGAGAGGAAACTGCCAACTCTTTTTGGGTGGTTCCATGTTTTGAGCCAATCCCAGCACCTCTGCAAGCTATTGCCACATACCTCAACAGTCAGAGTCAGAGGTGGGCAGAGTTTTTGCCTTTTCAGCGGGAGTTGGCCTGAAGGGGACCAAAGCTGGAAACAACGTGGCAGGGTGTAGCTACCCTCGCCAAAACGAAGCGCTGGTATCCCCATGAGCAACGCTGGGCTGAAATCGGACTCCCCGAACTTGGACCGCTGACATGGAGTTCTATACCCAGCTAAACCAGTTTAGGAGGTTTATAACCCGGCTATCACCAAACAGAGGTGGCCCTGCAATTTCTGATTTGGATGGGTGGTTGGAGACTTGAATCCTGTGTCCCTAATTGCTGAACGTGAATGGACATCACCCTCCACCTAACCACCCAAATCCCAAGAGAAGCCCCTTCCGCCTGGGGAAGACAAAGGGCTTTGAGTGTTTCCAACGTGCGGCACTTAAAACCCGCTTCTTATGCCCCACAGGTTCCGGGGGCAAAGGCCGTCTGCAGGAGAAAGGTCGTTGTAGGTGGCCGCTCGGGATTGAGGATGCACCCGCAAAAATTGGACAGAGTGTTTCTTGTGCCGGAGTTGATATCATGTGTTATCTTGCTCAGGTAAGTTGTGGGACTCAGGGGTGGTCTCGGAGTCCCGGTCTGGAACTGTGTAGAACGCGCCGTAGTTGATTGGTCCATGCTAACGTCATTTAGGGGCAATCCAACCACAAATAGGGGTGGCAGCATAATAAGAGTATATCATTATGAGAGTTAGCATGAGGTATTTATGAGATGTTGAATTGGTTGGATTCTGATATAATTATTGGCCGTTGCACCTTCAACAGATTAGTTCTCCCCACCCCCCTACGTCACGCATGACCCCTCCAAGAAATGACGCTTCCCCGCCAAATTTTCTGCCTCAACCTGGGGGCTTTCGCCGGGGACCACTCACTGCCAGAACACGAAGACTGCCATGTCCCTGATCCAGCGGGCTGTGCCGGGCATCCTCTTTCGCTTGGTGAAAGCGGGTACCGGGGCGTGCCAGGAGCGGGGGGGGGGGGGGTTCCGCCAAAACAAAGGGAAGCCGCTTGTTCCCATGGCCACTGGCAACCACGTTCCACATGTGCACCTGCCGAAAGTATGGCATGGTCACGGGGCGGGAAGGGCACTTTGACTTCCAGAGCGTGGGGTCTTTTCCAGGTGTCCAAGCCGAAGACACGGGAAACTAATGGCGTGTTGTGTTTGAGTCGGTGCCTGATGTTCAAGCAAATCAAGGGGTCGAGACAGGTTTGAGCAAATTGAGCCAGTTCAGCGCTTGGGTTTCTGGACTTCTCACCTCAAACGGAGACAACATAAGAAACCCGGTGGGCTTCCCATGGGGAAACCATAGATGGGAAACCTCGTGGAAGAATCCATGGGTTTCGTCATGATTTTGATTGCGCAGCAGCATGAACCATAAGAACCCTCTTTGTTTGATTTAGCCCAACACGAGCTGTCCACCACAGCAGCGGACAGGCGAGCCACTATATAGTTTTTTTTTCTCGTTCCTGTTGTCGAAGCTTCCCGGTCGCTCCATTGAACCATTTTGGGAAGTTCTTCGAGCTTGTGCTACAGGGATCCAAGTAGATACTTCGTTGAGGGCATGTTGAAGCACGCCCATGTTGGAAGAGTGGGGAACGCTACCCCTTCGCTACCAGGTTTGGCTGCGACTCAAGTGAGTTTTTGTTTGGTGATGTTTGAATGGAGGCCGCAAAACAAACGTAGAACTTTTCATGGAGTGTATTTGTTTGTTCTGCTTGCGTTGGATGCTAGCAAGCAAGATTGATTGTATCCCACTGCAGGTTTTCATCTCATTTCGGCTTTTAAAGCGGCCATATATTGAATCATTCATAAACACCTCGTGTATTTCAGCCTGGTTTGACGGTGTACGCCCACACCATGTGTGACTGGCCTTTTCGCATAGGAGACGCCGTCGGTCCACATCACCTCGGACAAGCCGGCGCGGTCCGCGCCGAACGCCGAACGCCGAATGCGCGCTGCCTTCCCAGCCATAGATTTACCCAGTCCACTAGGCCACAAGCAGGGAACCCATAGGGAACCCCAGGGCCTTTCAAAGGAACATTCCCTTCCGGAACCCTTTTGAGGTTCCAGTTAGTGAGTGGATGGGAGGGTAGACCTTTACTTCAGTTGTTTAGAGTTTAGAGGGGTTTATGACATATGACATATCCACCGACCACTAAGAAAGGAGGATACAGCAATGGTTTACTTCCATTGTTTAAGTCCTTCTGCTGAATGCGTATTTGGTGCATGTTGCCTTGAAAGACGGAGAAGTTTCGTGAGCTTCCCATGCTGCAAGCGGTTGCCCACTTAGATGGTCAGGCGCAAGGGTTTTCACCATGATTGGGGGATATAAGAACCCCCGCAAGCGCGCGCGTAAGCTCGCGCATGAGTTCCGCCCTTATGCTTTTGACCGGTGGACTGCTTCAAGAACCCCCTAATGGCTCCCACCAACAAAGCCCGCATTCATTTCTATATCACCCTATCGTACGGCCACAAGAACGAGGGGCCATTGGTCTTCGCGTGAAATGGAAGTAGATCCCTAGGGGTGCAGTGCCGTTGTGCTTTCCAATGGTCTTGAAGGGGCGGAGCTTTAACCATGTGCGTTGCAGCTGGGCAGCAGGATGCAGCAGGCCATCAGGGAGCTTTGATCCTTTCACTTGGGAAAGTGAACCATTTGTTGTGTCCAACCATTCCCAGTTGCCCAGTGGTGTCCTTTCTCTTTCTTTTTTTGGAAGGGGTCCCCCATGGTCCGCCTTAAGTCAACCAACCAAAAAGGATGCCCTTTTTTCCCATGGCCACTGGGCATCTGAGCATCAACTCGTAAGAACATGAGACCCTTTCCGTGGCTAGGGTCAGTTCGCCCAAGTTCAGGCAGAAAACAATTCACGGAAACCATCGCGTCAGGGCTGCTATGCGGACATTGGCATGAACACCTGGACGGGATCCAGTCAGGCGGGAGCTCCAGGGATTGCCCTCAGCTTGGGACTTCAGGGGATCTGACTTGCTGAGTTCGTGGACTTTCAAACTTTTTGGAAGTTGTAAACAGAAAGTTCGGATTTTTTGCAGCCCATCCACTCTTTTGTGGCGTGTGAAACCCGCAGATGTGTGCCGCTTGCAAGGGGTTTCTCGTTGGATGTATCCACCGGGCGAACTTAGATAACGGAATTCACCCGAGTGTTCAGAGGCTCCTTGTAGATCATGCTTGCCTACATTTGCATACATTCACTGCTGAACATCTCCAAATGTGGGTAAATATCACATAAAGGAGCTTCAGGGCTATAACTCTGAAGGAGGGGGACCTCCTCAGTGTTTGTGCCGCTCGTGCTGCCTGCCAGATGAACCTGCAGTCCTTGTGCAGCGCTGGTGTGGCGGTGCATGAGTTGCCGCTTGCCAAAGAGAAGCCGACGCCATGAGAAAGACGTGCGGCCACAAAGCCCGAGAATCCACTTGGATTCATGGGGGGTTGTGGGGGACAGTTTGCAATATCTCCAACATCCATGCCTCACTACCGCCCAAAATACGCATTGGCCATTCTTATTTTGGTTCTACAACCTGGTGTCGTAAAGGTTGTAGCAAAGAGCTGTAGAATCTTTATAAACCTTTATGGCCATGTTGGCAGAAGCAAAGGTCAATGGGCTCTGGGCACTGACGTGGATTTTGTTTTCCACGTTCTACTGCCCGAGGCTGCACGTGCTGGGCATGGCGCACGAGCAAGCCCGCCCTGACCGGGATCAGTATGTGACGGTGGTCTGGGAGAACATCCGGCAGGGCATGAAGCCGCAGTTTGACATGTTCCCTGGCCTGAGACTGGCCGCATTATGGGAGTAAACCCATACTGTAGGAGTTAACCATGCTTGTGGTTGTTGAGGCAACAAAAGCATTTTGCCGGTGACAGCATCTGCTCCGGGCTTGGGCGGTCTGGAAGGTAGATCCCCACCTTTCGTGAGGACTTCATTTTGCCCTTCGTGAGGACTGCACATTTGGAATTGGGAACCCGCAAGGTCTTACGCGTTGGGGGGGGATATGTGGTTAGTATCCCTCAGTAGCCCGCAGGCAAGACCCCCTGTAAACCTTCGTAACTCGGGTTAACCACCATCTCGCGATCACCCGGGCAGTCAAAGTGGGCAATGCAACCTTCTTGTTGATGCAGAATTCACCGCGAGGCTGTTTGCTGCTGAACAAGGTTCCTCCTACCCGCTGGATGGCTTGGAACATCACGAACCCCATGGGACAATTTACAGTCATTTGCTTTTCGGCGGGGTTTTGTTTATCGGCAAAGGGGGCCCGTTCTAAGCATCCTTAGAAAAACGGACATATTCTGACGGCATCGATTTACACAGGCGGCATTGCAGAGGCACGGTTTCGAAATACAAAAAAAGAGCATCGGCTTCGCTGAGTGCATTGGTGGGGTTGCCTGTAGCTCAGCCATCAGGGATGTGAATGCCTTTTTCAGTGGTTTCTGAAGTGTCCCCTTTCTCAAGTATTCCCTTTCTCACAGGCTTGTTCAGGATGATGGCAGTCCTCCAAACCTCTCTACTTGCACGACTCGTAGCAAGAGAATGTGGCGCGACAATGAATAAGGGCACCCTGAGAGCTGAAAAGAGAGCCCCACACGAAGTGCAGGTCTCACCCAATAAGCGATTGATCCAAAGATGGAGCTATTTCAGTATCAAGCGCAAAGCTCCTTTTTGAAAATCATAAAGGAAAGCCAAAGGGACCTCGGCCTTTTGTAGGGTCTCTGTTTGCAACCCAATCGTTGTTCAGCCTGACCACAAACACTGTGCTGCCTCGCTCAGACAGTCGAACGCTGACACGGCGCGACCGTATGACCCCAGCTCCATCATGCATTATGGCCACCTGGCTTGCAAGGGGGCTGGGACTTTTTAATGGTGCACGTGAAAAGAATTGAAACCTTTTTTCTGCCCTCAAGCCCAAGTCAACCCCCCCCAACTATCCAGTCGGAATTCTGGGCACTCATACAGAGGATGTCAATTCCATTGCAAAAGCTAGCAAGCTGTTTTTTTTTAGTTTTTTCGGAGGGGCGCTCCCTCCACCTACATTATTTGCTCAAGAGGAATTGGACCTTGCAATTGGCCTCCAATGTTTGTGGGAAGAGTGTGTTGTACTTGCAACACAAGCTGGGGCATGGCCCTTGGAGGACCACTTCGAACCCATGGTTGAAGCCATAAATTTTGTTGGTATTTACAGAGGAGTCATCAGAAACCAGGGTTTCTTAGGTGGTGCAGGATTTCGTCCATCCACAGTATCTCATTCAAAGTTTAACCTTTTGCAAGGGATCAATGCACTTACCATCACTTCGCCTTGGATGCTGTTCTTGTGGGCGTTCTGAATGAGAAACATGTCGAGTCTCCCATTTCTGCAACTTCCATGCGCGTCGATGCGTAGGCAGCACCAGCCGCAAGGTTGAACACCTGACACGGTATTTGTTAATGTTGAAACGCATGTGGAAACATGAACTGTGTTGGCAATGCTTGACCATAATGGCGCATGCCATTTTGGCTCAAGCTTTGCCCTTGGGTTCTTGTTCTCATGGCAGCCAACAAACACATCCTGGTTATGGAGGTTTTGCAGACCATGGTGGAAGGGCAGGCGATGCACTCAAAGGACATCGAGAAGGCCCTGGGTCGCATCCAATGGGCGACGGCTGCATGTCCGCTGGCGAAGTCGATGCTCCAGCCACTTTGGGCCTGGAAGATGGCCACCACCACGGTGGGGAAACCCCCCAAGGTGGTCAGGATGCTGGCGATCATGCTGCGGTTCCTCTTCAACACGCCTTTCGTCCAGTACTCCCCTTACTTGCCGAAGTCCTCTTGGTGGGGTTGCAGCGATGCTAGCGCCTCGGACGAAGGACTGGCATTTGTGGGAGGTTGGTGCTCCAACAAAGTGGAGCCGGAAAAGACGGAGGTGTACTGGTTCCACGAGCAGATCCACGGGGAGGAGTACCCTTGGGCTTTCAAGAATGGGGATCCCAAGCGGAGGATTGCGGCTCTGGAGATGCTGGGCACGCTCTTCCTCTGTAACATGATCCTCACGCACCAAGGCCCTCTGTCCTCCCGGGTCCGACTCCCGGTGGGCAGTGACAATCAGGGCAACGTCATGGCGATGCTCAACCTTGGATCCAAGAAGCCCTACACGGCGGCGATCCTGATGGAGCTGGTCTTCCTGCTCCACACCCATGGCTGCTCGCTGGCGGCCAACCACGTGCCCCGTGAATTCAATCAATGGGCTGATGAGCTGACGCACCCAGATTTCTCTGGGTTCGACCCTTTGCAAAGGGTCCCCAAGCAGGAACTCTGCGAGGAGTTCGTTTTTCTCCCGCGTCTCCTGAATGGAGATGCATTTGATCTTAGCGTGGGCCCACCCATGCTCCCGTGACCGGAGCCGGTGGGCGACTCACTTCCCCTGGTGGCAGACCCCCCTGTGGCCTGGGTGCCACGGGCCCCGGCTCAGGGGCGGGCGCTATGAACCCAACTTGTGTGAAAAATTTGAGTTTGAACACTTCCGAACTAACCCCGAACCAGCAATGGCTTCCTCGGCAACCTCGGCAACTTCCTTCGAGCTGATTGAGGACCAGACGCTCACCGCGGAGGAGGTGGAAATGGCCAGCCAGGAGGCCCAGGAAATCCGCACACGCGAGGCGGCAGTGGCGGCCGGCCTGGTGTTGGACGAGCCCGAGGCCCCCCCGTCGGCTTCGGCTACCGACGTGTTGAACGACCTCTCCAGTGCACTGGAGCGTCTCCGTGTGGCTTTCTCCACACCGACTTCCGGCTTGGGTGCCCCTGGCCCCGCCGAGGAGGAGGACAAGGACATGGAAGATGCGGACGCCACGGAGCGGGCTACTCCACCCACGAAGAGGCTGACCAGAAGACCACGGCTCAGGCAAACAAACCGGTCTCCCTTGTGCCGGTGGAGGGCCGTCCCGGCTACTTCAAGTTAGTGGACCTCCCAGACCTCTTCCCGGTCCTTCCGGCATCGGCGGCCACGTTGCTGAGGGACGTCACGGTGGAGGAGGCGGTCTCCCTGTTCCACAAGTTTGTCGGGAAGAATCTCACGGAGGACTTGGTGATTCGCATCCTGGAGGCCTATGTTCCGATGAAGATCCAGATCCGGCAGGAGGAGGTCTGGGCCTCACAGTTCCAGAGGAACAAGGCGTGCATTGGCACCCAGCGGATGCACAGACTCGATGCCGGCCACTCAGACTACAAATTCATGTGCAAGGCATGCGGCACGGGGTGGCCGGAGGCAGCCAAGCAATGCTGGGTCTGCCCGGGCAAGGAGTTTGTCCCCTTTCAGGCACCCTCGGCTACCTACGAGGCGGACGGCGTCACTTACAACCTGCGCAAGCCGACCTGGATCCAGCAGCGGGAAGGGGGAAGCCTGGGTGCCGCTGGCCCCGGTGGTACCCGGGCACAGGCAGACCGCAACCTGGTGGACGGCACGGTCCTGGGAAGAGCTCCTCCGAAAACGGACACGGCAGAGGAGATTACCATGGCAGACGTGGTCCCGCTTAACAGGCGGGTGGACATCCGGCAGGAGATCCTGTCCATGGAGGCGGACGACGAGGCGCTGAAGGTCCGGGAGCGCCAGGAGGTCAAGGTCAAAGTGCAGCGGTCCCTGAAGGAGGCGGAGGCTCAGAGCTTCCAGCTCTACCACCCCCAGGTGGACCAGGCGATCCGGAAGAAGGAGGAGCTGCATAAGGCCGGGAACCGACCCCGGCCAGGCGGCGGCACAAGGAGTTGGTCACGGATGAGATGCTGGACAATGAGATGGCTATCCTGGCGCCTCTCCAGGAGGCTGGAGCGATTCAAGGCCAAGCTGCGAGACCAGTACCTGGAGGGGAAGGGCGTCGACGCCAGCCAGGCACTGGCTGAGGCGATGGGCTCCATCCAGGAGGCTCAGGAGGCGAACAAGCGCACCCAGGACACCAACCAGGCATGGATGCTTAACCACACCCTCAAGCCCTTGGAAGTGTCGGCGTGGCCAGAGGCAGGCACTGGAGAGGGGGCTGTTCTGCCCCCTGAACCTGGATGACCCCGAGGACATCCCCAACGTGGGAGACATCAAGGAGAAGTATGTCCCTTACATCAGGAGGCTCAGAGAGGCGCAGAACCCATGGAACCAGGAGGCGCTGCTGGAGGAGATGCCCGATCTGGCGACACTGGCCCCCCCCAAGGGTGCCACTGGCCTTGGGGGGACCAGTCAATGCCACAGCAGGACCTGGACTCGGAGGAGGGCAAGCTGTCCCTTCTGGGCGATGAAGAGGCACCAAGGTGAGCTACGGATGTTTGGGGGGATCTGGAAGAAGCACTCAAGCGGTGAGATCCCCAAGGGCGCGGACCAGCAATTCAAGCTCACTCCGGAGGAGCTTTTGGCCCTGGAGCGCAGGACCCACCCACTCACGTGCGAGCAGGACCACATCGACCCTGTCATCTACTCGGCCTTGGAGATCCGAGCGCAGGTGAACCGGGGCGAGCGCCCGGCGCCGGAGCAGGTGGTGGGGATCTTCTGGGCGAAGGGCGAGGGAGTGTTTTGGACAAGGCAGACGAGGACGTGGGACCTGCCGAGCTTGACGGGGGTGTACGCCCACAGGTTCACCTTCAAGTACATCTACTCGGCCTGGACCACCTTCCCGCTGGTCGTGAAGACGCAGCGCCAGGGCCGCAATGCGGAGGGCTCGGCCTCGGACAAGTGGATGGGCAACATCCTCCAGATGAGGAAGGAGGCGGTCCCCTTCCTGGAGAGCCTGGGAATCCCCAAGCCGCGCAGCAAGGCGGAATGGAGCTACATCTTCAAGGAGATGGGGACGTTTCTGGCGGCCAAGAATTTCATCGTTAACTGCCCGTTGCCGGTGATGGAGATCCCAGTGGCCTCCGTCCACGACAGCAAGGAGGCGCTGCGTTTCAGGGCGGTCTGCGACGAGCGTATCACCCTTCCGCTGTCATCGTTGAGGGCTTTCGACTCGGTGTACACCAAGCTGGTGTCGGGCCTGAGTAAGTCCTCCATGGTGGAGGTCAAGGTCAACTGGCGTTGCAACGTGGTCCATGACTGGGTGGAGCAGGTCCCGCAGGAGGCGGCGGGGGCCCTGTACGACCGGCTGGGCTACTCCCAGGACCTTATCAGGCAGCTGGGTTGCTCCCCCCCCTTGGGTGCCTCTGGCCCCGGGGGAGGAGCGGCCAAGGAATCGGACCCCAAGGCCAAGATTCTGGGGGGAGCGGACACCACGCTCCGCACGCCGGACCAGGGCACCAGGCGGTACCCTCCTATCACCACGTCCACGGTCACGGCGGTCGCGGGCCGGAAGTACATCAACAAGCACTTCCCGAAGGAGACGAAGCACGTGTTTTGGGCCTCCGTGGAGTGCGGCCTGGTCCTGCCCAGCATCAGCGCCTGGGAAGTGGTGGGCAAGGAGAAGTTCAAGACCACCGGGGGCTACATGTGCAGGTTCTGCAAGGGCTTCTGGAGGGCAAGCCGCGGGGGGACCAGGCTGCTCCAGATCACGGGGTGGCACAAGGACAAGGCCACATGCCTGCAGCTGGTGATGGACGAGCCCCCGGAGCAGCTATATAATCAGTGGATCCGGGACAGGATGGAGTAGCCGACGGAGCCTCCCACAAACGAGCGGCTAGTCCTTGGAGATGCGAGCACCCCGCGCATGCGCTTCAGCTCCTCGAATGGCCTGGGGGATGTCTCCACTGCCTTGTGGTCGGTCATCTTGAGCAACCCGGAGAAGTCAGGGCTGGCGGCCATCCACTCGGTGGCTAAGGAGGCGATCTTGAAGGGTGAGAGCCGCTAGGTCGTGTCTCACAGCCTTTTTGGATGGGGAGTCGTGAG